TCCTCCTCCTCCTACTACTACTACTACTACTACTACTACTACTACTACCACTGCTCCTACTTCTCCTCCTCCTACTACTACTACTACTACTACTACCACTGCTCCTACTTCTCCTCCTACTACTACTACTAACTACTACTACAATTACCAGCATCACCGCTCACCAACATCGCTGTCAGCTGATGTACTCTCATCAATTCCGTGTCAGGTAAATTGGGTATGGAATCCTCCACAGAAGAAAAGAGAGCGGGGACGGCTCTCGCAACATAAAAGTTCAACCATCGTGCTCGACGATGTCTACCGTGTGCTCCACAACAAGGCGAGAGCAGCTCCGGCGACTTGCGCGTGAACTAGTTAATAGTGATAGTTGACTTGCGCAGCATCTGCCGCACTCACTTCCCCTCCTCCACTGAATCGGGTGTGAAGACATAGTCAAGAAGACCGGAGTTGGGAGAGGGCGCAGGTGGCTGGCGCGACCGGACCTGCGCCTAGGCGTGCGACAACGCCCCCTCGACCATAACAAATACTTGACCAGGATTTTAACCAACAGCAATAATGGGTCAGAAAGAAGAGGGTATGACGCTAATCACTGGGGCAACCATGCACACGGCCTGTATACCCAGTGGGCGCATCTACCGACAGGGAACCAGGTGCGCGAGAACTGCCGACGCACACCAGGCTGCGAGGGCCAGGGTTTGCTGAGTTATGGCATAGCAGACGCACGCAATCCTTAAAGCTCTCGGCGCTACTACAAGCGATCTGGCGCGCTTAAATATATCACGGTGCACTAAAAGCAGCGGTTTAGCACGTGGCCAATTGATGGAATAACGCGGTACTCCTCTCAGGACTGCAAGTCAGGCCGCAATGGCTCCTTCTTTATGGCCCACCCGCCCAGCTGGAATCCAAAACTGGCCCTCATCTTTCATGTTGTGTGAAATCCTGGTCTCGAGTGCATAGACCAGGGAGTGTGGCACACGTCCACTTCCGGTCTTCTTGACTTTCGACATTGGGCCCAGGAGGGTGAAAGAAGAGAGAGTGCGGTAGGTGCTAAGCAAGTGCACCATAAAATAATTCATGCACAAGTCACCGTGCCTGTGCCCACCACGCTGTGGGACGCGCACAGTGGACATGGTCGGTAACGACGGTCAGGTTGTCGGGGATGAAGTGGGTTGCAGTAGCTGATGCGGCAAAACTTGCGTCAGTGCGCCTGAGCCATACATTATCAAACTTGGACACTGTATCAAAGAGAGACGTCATGAGAGCATTATGAAGAAGCCACTGCAGCCTAACCACTAGATCAGAGGAGGGCATCGCTCTGGTGTGAGCTGGCAACCCTTTTAGTAATGCCTTCTAAAGCATCGTGACAGCTAGGTAGAACGTTCGCTGGACGTCAGGGTCGGCCCCACTTCCCATGCCTATAATTTATGAGTAGCAATTCCGATGCTTGTGTGTGCGCGCGAAGACCGGCTTTCTAGTTTGACCAAAGTATACTGCACTGCAAGCGTCGCATGGAACTTTGTAGATGGCTCTTTCCAATCTAAAAAGCCAACCCTACCCTTAGGGTGTACAAGCTAGTTGCGCGGTGCAGCATAAGGCCACCGTCAAACGCCTGTCACACGTCTGCGTACTCGCAGTTTGGGTTTGAGATGGTAGCACAGCTCGTTTTGGCGAGCCAAAGTGCAAAGAATAGGATGGTAGAGGGTTGCTTTCAGGCCGCGTTAGGCAACCCATTCGTCCTGCTGTACCTTGGGGTTCTCTTTCTAGCCCCGCCAGCAGCCGCACGGCGGCGCGCAATATAGACACAGAATAGCATTACCGACAACCACAGGGGAGACTGGAATGACGTCGTCAGTCAACCACACCCAGCCCCGAGGCGTGCAACTCCTGGGACTTGGTCCTGCAACCTGCTGGCAATAAGTCCAACGCCCTAACCACCGAGAACTGAGCCAGGGGCTCATTGTCCCGTCGGTTGCACACCTCGGGGTTGGGTGTGGCTGGTTGACGACGGTCAATAAGCCAGAAAAGCCCATTCTGGTCCCCATCGCCCTTGTCAACAGAGAACACAATTACGACTTGAAAAAAATCGGGATAAGCGGTGGAGGCGGGCGAGTGCGTAATGGTCAAGACGCGCAGCCAATCAGACTTGAGGAACTTGTGCTCACCCACCTCCATCACCGAAGGATGCGGCAGCGACACAGATACAGCCGAGCGGGTCTGAGTTTTGTGCAAGGGCAGTGATCCGCCCGGAGTGAGTGCCAACTCAACAGACACCAGGCCGGAGAAAGCTGGCGACGGGCACGAAGAGCCAGCCGCCGCCTTCGTTGGTGCAGGTGCAAGGACCTTGCAGAGGGAGGTGACGGAGGGTGGGAAACGCAGCATTGTCTGGAAGACGAGAGCTGACCAGAGTACCGCCAGACTGCCGATTAGGAAGAAGGGAACGCGCCAGGTGAAGATCTCCGTCAGAAAGGATCCCACTAGACCGGAGAAGAGGGTTCTGAAGAAAGGCGGTGGAGGTTGAAAGAAACCCACGGTCGGGACCGAGACGGTCCTTTACTGTAACGCGCTCAGGTTTTCCTGGCATGTAAAAGTACTACATAGGTAACCATAAAAAGACCTCATACTAAATGGCCATTTTTAACTCTTGGGCATATATCAAGGGACGTTTTGTGCGGCCGAGCTTCTGCTAGTCCCTAATTTGGAAACGAAGCGGGCAGAGCATTAGCAGCTTGCGGAATGTGTTAGTAGTATTTATAGGTCTGTGTCCTTAAACGGACCACGTGGTCGGCCACGGTACAGCAGCCGTTATCGGGAATGCGCCCCCATAACAAATGCCAACACTGAGGATATGGTGGCAGGGCCAGTCGCAGGCTCATGTTGGACCAATTAGGATTCGAGCCGCCCCCTATCTTTCTTGTTGTATATAATCTTGGTCTGCGTACGTTGTGGACCAGGGGGTGTGGTGGTACACCTAGATGCGAGTTCTCGCTGTGCCAGTCACTGCCTCCGTTTTCTTGATTGAATTGGTTGAACACATTGAAGGCCGCAAGGCTTCAAGGATGCCCTGAAACTCAGCAGACTCCAATGGTGTCAAAGAACAATAAATACGAAATTACATTTGCTGATTCCGCCTAACGCCCTGTCAACATGTGACCTTATAAGAACGTTGTAAAACTAATTAGTCTGCAACATAATTCTATAATATTTCAGTTACCTCAGGATGCCGGCTTTCGAATGAATTTCTTTTCGGCTGCATGCAAAAACCATACTCTTTAAAAAATGACTACTTAAGTAGCATACGTTTTTCTCATTGATTTTCGATGCCCTTAAAAATTCAATTATATTTTATGGAAAAAGTGCACAAAATATTCATTCTTTTGCTCATTCGGTAGAAAATTACGTCTTCTTCCAAATTTATGCTCGAAAGAAGAGTATAATTCAGCTTTCAAAAAGTTTCTAATTGTGGTACTTTTTAATACCGTGAAATGGCTGCTCATAAAAAGTCATGTTTCTGAATTTACCAATATGGCTTGTAAAGTTAACGAAATGATTTAAATCCACAGCTAAATCTTATGAACCGCATACGGTCTCCGCTTAATACCGTAGAGAAATGTGCGGTTTTCCATACACAGAAAATATACAGCTTGTAGTTTGGAAACGCTGAATGCAAGTGCAACGGCAGAGCGGGTTCAAAATTATTCGGGAATTGGAAAAGGTTTTGAAATCCGAATTATACATTTCCTTCGAATAATAATTTGGAAGAAGACGTAATTCTCTACCGAATAAACAGAAGAATGAATATTTTTATGCATGTTTTCCAGGAAATATAAGTGGACTTCTAGGGGCATCGAAAACCAATGAGAAAAATGCATGCTGTTTATGTAGTAATTTTTACAGAGTATAGTTTCTGCATGCAGCCGAAAAGAAGTTCATTCGAAAGTCGGCATCCTGATGTTACTGAATTGTTATGGAATTATACTGCAGGCTGATTGGTTTTAAAACGTTACTTAATTAATCTTTTCGAAACGAAAACGCATTTCGGAATTTCGGTTGACATTTCATGAGTCAGCCCACCTACTGTATAATCTAGTTCCAAAACCCACAGGAAATAGGCTGAAGCATGTACCCATAACAGGCACCATGAACTGACATAAAGCAGACAGAATCTACAGAACACAGATTTTCAAACATCCGAAGGGCAAAAACACAGAATGCGACTCTACGAAGGAAACAAAAACCACAAGTTATCATGCAATGCGGGTTTTACGAGTGGGGCTAAACGGCGGAAAGGAGAGCGCGTATCAGGATCCCAATCCCCGAGGAATGGTTGGGGCTACTAAGATATCTGACATTGCAAGCAAAAAGTTGGGCATTTTTGGCGGATATTCCAGTTCTTTCTCATAAAAAACGTAAATTACATTCCACCTGGTTAGGAGAACGCAGAAGCGTCAATTATGAAGAAGGCGGGGACGCAATATGCCACGATGGCCCGG